TATCTGCAGCCTCCAGCCTCCCTCTTCTGATCTCCTCCCTGCACATGTTTTATTATTTTGCTTTGACTTGGTAGCTTTTTCCAGACACAGAACACTTCACAAAATCCTGAACCACATGCTTGGACTGGGACAGGTGGTATCACAAATGGGTGCAGAGCCACACTGCTTCTGAGAAGCATCTGCTCGTTGGAGTTAGGGCAATCTTACACCTCAAGTGCTTTTACTGAAGGGATAATCAGTTTGTGGATATTATTGATGCATAGATGCCTACTCTGATGGAGGTTGGCTCTGGTTTCATATCTTCTCTCTCCCATAGAGGTGTCCCCCTCAGGGACATATAAGGAGAGATTAATCTTAGATCAGTCAGAAAGACTCCACAAATGCAAATGGAGCGAGACTCATTTAAAAGTACAGCTGTTAATGTGAGAAAAATTGAGAATCTGGCCAGTAGCAAAACTGCAATTAGAAGTTTCAAGATGTTAAATGAATGCAAGTAATGCTTCAGCTTAAGCAAGAGCAGACTCAATATCCAGCTGATGTGTTTATCACAAATGTGGTAATAGAGATTTCTGGATTATTGGCTGCTATTTTGCCTAGTGTTCATAAATGACTGATACTTAATTAATTGAAGGCAATGTTACAGGAACCAATCTGCTGACAAAGGTTTCTTTAAACCAGCAGTTGTCATATTTATTGTGATCTCAGACAGGCAAGTTCTCAGTTATTATCTTTTCTCAGACAAAGAAGCAAATAAACATGAAAAGCAACAAAGAAACAATAAAGATGAAATACCTGAAAAATGTTTTTATGCTTTTCTTTTTTTCCCTTCCATATAAAAACTGTGTTAAGAAATAACTTTCATTATTTTTGTTTGGGGGTTTTTTTGGTTTTTTCTGGAATAGGACAGCAGATTTTCTGTGGTTATAGGCGAATCAGGGTCAAAAAGCAATCTCTTCCCTCATATTTCATGGTACACAAGAAGTAATCCTCAGGTAATCAATAATTCTGTTTATACCAACAAATAAACTGTGCCTCAGACCACATTCTGGCCCTGGAGGCAGGGGCACAATGTGCTCACTTCTAAGAACACCACACACTGTTATCAGCAGGATGAAGCGGATTTACCAAGCCAGAGTGGACTCTTTTCCATGCTGTCTCCCAAGTCATGCCCAGTCACTGTTCTGGAAGTCTCAACTAACAAAAACAAAGCTGATATTTGCCAAAACTTGAGATTTAACAGTTTGATGACTGATGCTGAGTGCTCAGTCTGTGCAAGTTAGGGCACAGTCCAGACTCCAAGCACAGGAGCATCTTTTTTATGTCCTGAACTGAGGAAAGCATGAGCAATGTTCTCTAGGAAGTGTCTCAAAAATCTTCATCGAGACTTCATATAGCCAGCTTTGTTTTCCTGCTCTGCCACGGTCTATCTGCATGACCTTGGGCAAGTCACTCTCTGGCTGGGCTGCAGACTGCAGTGAGCAGGCTACTGTGTCCCCAAAGCAACGAGAGTTGGCATTTTCCTTCAGCCTGGTTCACCTGCACTTGCCTACAATGACCCCTAAGTAGCCAGAGTGGATTTTAAACCCATCTCAGGCGTTTGAAACCACCCTGCAGTCTGTGCTCTGAATGTGAATGCTGTGTCTCTGCTCCTTGTCTGGTGAGTGGAGAGACCAAGTTCCTGCCTTACAGAGGGATAGGTAAAGTAGAAGTATTTAGGGCTGTAAGTTCTTCCAACACTGCAGTAAGTAATGGTTAAACAATTGTCCTTCACATCCAGATTTCCTCAGGAAAAGCCAAGCAGTTTCATCAGATTTTGCAGCCCGATAACAGCTGCTTCAAAACTGGAGCAGTTTGCCCAAACCTGCTTGAGTGGTTCCCAGAAAGTCCTGTGGCAAACCTGCCAAGAACTCACCCCCTGTCAGCCTTCAGTCAGCCTCACCTGAGAGGTTTGAACTGATTTGGCCTCCATCAGGAGATGAGAAGAGAGACAAAGTGAAAGCTTCTCACGAGGCTTGAGGGAAATAAAAAACTACAAGATGTTTTTGCCGCTCCCAGACGGAGCAGGAGGGAAAGAGCTCAACACTGTCATTGTGTCCCAGACTAGCACAGTTTGACACTTGACCCATGTCAAGTAAACTAAACTGTTCTGTAAACTAAACACATATGGGGCACCTTCATGGTTTGTAAATCCCCATATTGTTTTCAGAAAAATTTTGTTTAATTTGAGGCCGTTATTAAAAGAGCAAAACCTACCAGTATTAACCAAGAAACATGACCTTTGAGAAAGTGAGGCAACCTAGAAGATCCTACAGGGTCCTAATGGTGCAGAAAAGTTTAGCTGAGAAGAATCCCAAGGGCATGGACCAGTGAATGCGATGAACACTGGCCCACATTGAATAAGAGCAGGCAGATTTGGGTCTCTTGTTTGCAGTCCCATGAGGTTTAACCACAACTTTTCCTTAATGTCACAGTTCAAGTGTGAAGAAATACAAAACCTCACAGATACAGCCACAGGGGTTCTGTGCCTTTGCTGGACATCCAGGAACTCATCAACCCAAATGAGTGCAGCATCTGAGATGTTTCTGTTTAAACACAATGAGACACCTCAAAACAAGAAATACAGGCCTGAGTTTCCACAGCCTTTGCTCAGAGGTGCAAATAGAGGGAGGTCAGTATACAGCCTGAGAGCCAGGATTAAACCAAGATCTTGCCCATGGTTTGAAGGAGTTCACAAGATGTTGCCCACAACTTCCTAACCCTTGGTAGATGGGACAGCAAAGATGACAGACATAAACTAGTGAATTATTTTATACGAAACAGTAATTTAATCCCAGCAGCTGGAGCCAAAGAGACCAGAGAAGGTGAGTCTCTGCAGACACACCATTGTTGAAGACCAGCCCAGGTTCAGGGCTGACCACAGGTCCATAATAGAGTCCTTAATATATAAGAAGAAGGAAAATAGTGGCAAAGTGCATTTCTCTTTCTCAGTAAAAGCAGGACCCACAGAAATGAGTTGTAATTGCTGGCTTTTATCTGAAGTGCAGTCACAGGCTTAGGTGGCTTTACCTTCTTTCACTGGCAAGAGGGCAAAAAGCTCCCCACCCTGCTCTGTCCAGCTTTAAACTGAATTACTTAAGGGTATTTATTCCCTCACCCAGAAGATGAAACACAACTCCTTGGGAGATTGAAGGTGCTGGGATGGTGTTTGGAAGTGCTCAGAGTTAAACTTCTATGTTTTGGGAAAACCTTTCTCTGTATGTGAATTATCTGGCAATCCAATATGTAGCTAATCCAGACCACATAATCTTTTCCTTTGCTTTTATCTTTAAAAAAAGGAGGAGCTGTAGGCAATCTTCTAATGAAAAAACACAGTGCAAGTGACTGCATCCTAGTTTTGATAAGATCAGTTAGGGTTTGTCTAGAGAAGAAAATTAACCTGGATTTAGAGGATAGGACGACTATTTCTGTATAAAGCTGCTTTATACAGAAATAGACTGTTAGTCTAGATTATCAGTGTTCTCCACTGAACTACCTTAATTTTAATTCTAAAAATAAGCAAAATGTAAAGGATTTGCTTTAATTCTGCAGTAACAGCATGAAGATAAAATTTGTTCAGGGATATTTAATCCAGAATAACTTGTTTTTCTGAGCACTCTTTGCACTCAGGACTTTCTAGCAGTAGCAAGGACACCTTTTCATTTCCACACACTCCACTCAGGCAGCCACAACTCTGTACAAAGCAATTACTGTAACATCTACAGCCACGGGACCAAATCCAAGCTGTTCCACCTGGCACTTTTATTGAAGGAAAAAGACAATCAAATAAAATCAATCTATGTCTCTGCTTCAGATTTCGGAACAGGCACTGACTTTATGGGATCTTTTTCTGGTAAATGTACAGGATCTTAGTGTACAGGATAACTTAGGATAACTTCAGGATCTTAGGGCTGGTACTTGCAAGAGCATGTCCCTTACCCCCAAGGAACTCTTTGAAAAAGGGGGAGAGGTAACCCCAGAGATCTCTGGTTTACAAGGAGGAGCATGTCCTCTCCCCTGTGACCTGAGCCACGAGTAAATAGTGTCCTAGGGAGTTTGTTACATTCTGTTAAATAAATCCTGCCTCTGGTGCAATGCCCAGGGGAGCATGCCGATGGACTGTAATCCACAAAAACTTCTTTTATGAGCTAACTGCAAACTTTGTACCTTATTTACTCACAGCAGGTTAGTCCTGGTAAATGGAATTGCCCCAGATGGGAGGGAAAGCAGATGGGTGCTTGTGTGCCAGGGGAATAGTCCTGAGATAATTTGTGCCAAATTGCTTATTCTTTTAATTGGGAGGACTGAAACTTCTTTCACCTTTCACCTTGTTTCAACTTTGCTGGAAGCCTCTAGCTGGTGGGATCCATCCCGAAACTCCAGCCCATCCATCAGAGACAGAGTTAACAATTTTTACACTGAGAGAGAAAAAAAAAAATCCCACTTCCCTTCACCTTCTTTGCATGCAGGTAAAGAAGGCAGGACACCTGAAATTGCTTCTGGCCCAACCTTCTGCTGCTCTTACAGCACTGGCAGGGGCAGGGAGACACAGGACCTAACTGTGCCTTTGAGGAAAGCTTTTCTTGGCCACATTAAAGACAAATTATCCCACCACAGCAGTGAGGCTGGAAAAGGTGATAGTGCAAACCAGCTCTCCACCCCCCACCGACCTCCTGTCCCTTTCCCCCCGTGAATTGAACCTTCAAGGCATTGCAAGGTCTGCCGGTGCTCAGGCTCTTCTCCGCTCCCTTCTTCTCCTGCTCTGGCAGCAGCGTCCGGTTCCCCACCCTCCCTCCTCACCCAGAGCAAAGCAAGGCACCAGATTCAGCTGCTTCACGAGGAAAGCCCAGATCACACACATTTCCATAGAGAGAGAGAGATATGATTATATTTCTCTTTGCTGCTTAGGACAAGAAATGAAGTGCTGCCTCTTTAATTGGCAAAAGCATGCAGTAAGAGCATACCTTTAATTTAGTGTTGGGATAGCTCACTTGCACCCTGGCTGTTGTCTTATTGGAGAGGGCAGCCTGCCTCAGATCCTCTAGCACTGAAATAATATCATCCAGCACGCATTTCTTATCCTGATTTCTCAACACACACAGATGGGAAAAAGTATAATTATAGCCTTTGTAGTTCACCTTCATTTCCAGCACGGCTCGGTGGATCTGCAGGATCACATCAGCCTGATGCAAAATATTGCCTCCGGGTTTGGAGAGGAGAATCACCCTGCCATACCTCCCCGGGGTGTGCAAGTCCGAATACAGCTGGCTTTTGGATTGATCGAGGGAGAAAAGGCTGCTGGCTAAGCTCCTCTCGATCTTGGCCAGGCTGTGGCTGGGGGCTACCAGGCTCTCCAGGTCAGTGTCAGGCTGGAAGCGGTTGAGCAGGCTGAAGCCGAAGATGATGGTCAGGACTGCGGGCACAGTGAGGAAAAACACCGGATGCCTGCTCACGAATAAGCCCAGCTTGTAGAAAAACGACTGGAGCCCTCTGTGTATCACCTGCCGCAGCATCCTCCACCAGATCCAGCCTGCAGATGCTCCTGGCCGTCTTAGAAAGCACATGTGACATGTGTAGCTCCTTACCCCTTCCTGCCAGTTTCCCTTTCTCTCTCCCTCTCTCTCTACTACTCCTTTAAAAGACTGCAGCAAGTTGCAGCAAGACAGCCAAATATTGATCAATGGGGTGTGTGTGTGCGTGCGGGTGTGTGTGTGTGTGTGCCGGAGATGGAAGGGACCGGGCAGGGGAGGGAGGAAAGGGGGGGTGGGGGTTCCTTGCCTTTTTTTCCCTCTTTCTCTCCTTTTTTTGCCCCCCCGCTCTCCTCCCTCCCCCAAGCCAGGCAGCATCGCCGCCCCCCTTCCCGTCCCTCCCCTCCCGCCCGGTGCCCCCCTTTCTCCGGCGAGGCTCGGGCGCTGCACCGGGAGCGCTGCCGGCTCCGCAGTGCCCGCTCCGCTCCGCGCCCCGCGCAGCCCCGCGCCCGGCCCCGCTGCTCCGGGAGCTGCGGACAGCGCTGCCGCTCACCCCTCCGCCCCTTCACACACACACACACACACACACACACACACACACACGCACACACACACAGAATTCGCCGGGGCCGGAGGATGATGCTGCATTTTAACGTCCCCTGACCCGTCCGTGCCCCTCCCTCGCTCCCCCTCCCCATCCCCGCCGGTTGCCGGAGGAGGGAGAGCTCGGCCCGGAGACTTGGCGATCCGCTTCCACAGCAGCAGTAGCAGCAGCAGCAGCAGCAGCAGCAGCAGCAGCCGCCGCGTTCCACTCTCGTCCCGCGGTCCCGCGGCTGCAGCATCCCCGCGCCGCACTCCTCTCTCCATCCCCCGGTCCCGCGGGAGCTCAGCTGCATCTCCTGGCCGCGCTCCGCTCTCATCCCGCTATCCCACTGCATCGCCCCACTGCGCCCTGCTCTCATCCCGCTATCCCACTGCATCTCCTGGCCGCGCTCCGCTCTCATCCCGCTATCCCACTGCATCCCCCCACCGCGCCCTGCTCTCATCCCGCTATCCCACTGCATCTCCTGGCCGCGCTCCGCTCTCATCCCGCTATCCCACTGCATCCCCCCACCGCGCCCTGCTCTCATCCCGCTATCCCACTGCATCTCCTGGCCGCGCTCCGCTCTCATCCCGCTATCCCACTGCATCGCCCCACCGCGCCCTGCTCTCATCCCCCTGTCCCACTGCATCGCCCCACCGCGCCCCGCTCTCATCCCCCTGTCCCACCGCGTCCCCCCCGCACTCGGCTCTGCCCCATCCGTGCTGTGGCTCTTGGGGGCGTGGGTACACACGGTACACACTGCTCCAGGCAAAGCTCCCAGCCCAAATTTCCCCTTTTCCCCATTTGCTGCCCGGGGTCGCCCAGATGGAGATGCCCCATGCTCCTGAGAGGAACAGGGAGACCCCAGGAAATGCTGGACACAAGGGGAGGAAGGGGAGAGGAGCTGCTCCTTTCTGCTGCCCCACACCCTGGCACATCTCCCTTGGCCAGATGCTCTCTCAGCAGTGACCCAAGAGAGGTAGGACACAGCTCCTGACACCCTCCAGCTGAAAAAGAGGTTTTCCAAGCAAAGACACCAGCAGGCCATTACATAAGAGGAGGAGAATTCTGCAGCTCCTTCGGACCAAAGGAGAGCAGCAGAGAAATGCATTTGCAGCAGGCGAGCTGCCCGCCAACTCTCCAGACAGAATCTCTGCTCCTCTGGGAGCCTAAGCCAGGACTGGCTGGGACAGCAGGTCCAGCCCCTTGCAGGAAAGGCAGGAGGAAAGGCAGGCTGGCTTTGCAGGAGCTTTGTACTTAACTTGTAATTCTAAATCACAGACGTGTAATTAAAAAGCAAAACCCAAAACCCACAGCTTGGTGTCTCCCCTTCCACCAAATTTCTGCTACCTTTTAGTGAGTTTTGTCCAGCAGAAATTATTTATCCCATCCCCTTGATGGGACCAAGGACACTGCAAAGTCTGAGAGAACAAGGTTCTTCCATAATAAACCCCTACAGAAACAGGAGGGTGAGTGGAAACTGGGGAGCTCAAAATATGTCAGTTAGCAGCCTCTGTCTCATTCAGTACTAGACAAAAAGCAGGCTGCACTCAGTTTGAAGTACTTATCAGTGTTTTGGAGAAGAAACAGCATATTCAGCAATCCCTTTCACACCCCTTCTACACATGCTTCTACTGCTACTAGCAGTTGGACTTGATAACCTTTGAGGTCTTTTCCAACTTAATCATGCTATGGCTCCATGGCTCTGTGTGGATGAGCAGGACTGGTGGAGAAGGAGCCAAACTGAGATGGCTTTGGAGGGCCTGTGTTAGGTTGCAGAGGCAGTGATTCAGTTTGGGACCCAGAAGCCTTTCAGAAGTGTGGAAACAACTGCATTGGTAAAGCTGGCTTAATGTTTAGGTATTTGATTGGGTGCTGCAAGCACATCATGGCTTTCAAATTCAGGCTGTTTTTATTTAGTGGCCTAGATATAGTTGATCTGAAAATGTGGATTGGAGTTCTTACAGGCAACAAGGAGAGGTCTAAGGCAGAAAGTTCTGCAGAAAAGACCCTGTCAGCCATCTATCTGCACATCTTAAGGTACTGCCTTCCTCCATAACCCCAGGAAATGCTAAGCTCCATTGGTACATATTACAGCTCTTTGTCTATTTTATGATGTACTTATGCCAGTGGTTAAGTGGTCCCAGAGGATAAAGTCTAAATGCAAAGGCTTTACTGAGCCTTTGTACTTAAAATCAGAAGGGAGACCTTGAGTGGGAAGCCAGAGCCTGTTTCCTAATTTTTGCACGTGCAGGCTTGTAACAGCCCTTGACAAAAGATTGTGACCATGTCTAAGCAGTGGGTGGCAGAGATACCTGGCTGCTGTGGGCCTGGAGCCTTTGGATCCTTGGCACTTGTTGCTGCTGTGACTGAGATGGTGTTGGGAGCTGGTCTGGCAGGGAGAAACCTGGAATCACTTCTCTTGGTTGCTGTGGCCTTGTCCAGTGGGTCCTTCACAGAGCTGAGGAGCTTGGGAGCTCAGGATCTTGGCCAGATCATAAAATGACAGAATGGTTTGGGTTCTAAAGGACCTTAAAGAACATCTAATTCCAGCCCCTTACCATGGGCAGGGACACTTTCCTCTAGATCAGGTTGCTCAAAGTCCCATCCAACCTAGCCTTGAACTTCCAGGGATGGGGATCCACAATGTCTCTGAACAACTTGATCCAGTGACTCATGACCCCACAGTAAAGAATTCCTTCCTAATATTTAATCTAAACCTGCACCTTTTTAAGCTTAAAGCCAATCCCCATTGACCTATTAGGTTGCAGACAGTAGTTGAGATGATTCATTACAGGCAGTGACCACAGGAGCAGTTCAGGAACACAGCACAAATTGAACTGGACCACCCTGGGAGAGGCATGTCCCTCTTGTGCCTGAATAAGATATGGCAAAGGATGATTTTTTACTGCAGTTTCTTGAGGTCTTGGACCACACCAGGACAATAATGGCCAGGATGCTGCAGTGGAGCAATCCAGCACGGCATGGCTGAAACACAGAGCAGACAGAGAGGGGGCAAAGAAAGCTGTGCAGTGACAGCTGGGACTGTGCTGCTTCCTTCTTGAGCAGGAAGGTAAAGAATAAAGGGCTCTGCCAGCTGGTCCTGCCTGTCCCTGGGAGTACACAGTAACAATGTGTAATCCAACATTAGTGTCAGTAAAACTGGCCTAATTTTTAGATACTTAAATGGGTGCTGCAAACACATTGTGCCTTTCAAATTCAGGCTGATTTTAAGCCCAGATACTGCCGATCTGAAGGTGCCTGCAAGTGTTACCCTGCAGGTAACGTGGATGATAAAGTGAACAGTGCATTATATTGGTCATCCCAAATGGCAAAATCCATGGAGGATCTAAAAAGTCAGCTTGAAGTACGTCTCAGAAACAAGCAGGGCATCAGCACCTTTTCTGAGAACAGTACTGGGATATGCTGATATTTATATCCTCCCTGGTGTCATCCAATGAATCCTGTTTAAAGTGGAATAACAGACATGTCAGGGATGTTAGCTGGGGGAGCTGAGTGATGGTTCACAGAGCCTGGAGCTCAGAGAAATAGCAAATCACAGAGAGAAACTAAAAACACTCCAAAATATTTGAGACTATTCAGCTTGGAAAAAGTGCAGGTCTGTCTGAGGAAAATTATTGAAGTTGCCTATTCCCAGAAAGGAGACAACTTTAGAAACAAATGATTCAGCATTTCAACAAAAGAAAATAATGGGATTACAGCACAAGGCAAAGCAGACATGGTTTTGGAAAAAGCTTTGGAAAAGAGCAGAAAGTCAAAGCAAACCAAATTTACTTGCAGGGTAACCTAAAGCAAGGAGGACTGGAACAGTCCCTCTGATTCTCTGATGGGGCTGCACTGCTGAACTGTGTTCAGATCAAAGAGCTACTGGGACACAATAGTTTAAATAAGAATTATGAACAGGCTTGAGGGGTTGGCATAAGTGCACTGATTAGGCACTAAGAAAAGGTATATTGGGTGCCCAGGAGCCAGATTGCCATATGGAGATTCAAAAACAAGTAAAGGCACAAAAGGTCCTATTGACATAGTGATTTTAAGTTGTTATGGTTTAATAGCTGGGTGGATATAGTAAAACTTAATGGTATAAAAAGACATTAAATAGTGAAAAAATAATGCAGAGGGATAATTCAGAATAGCAACAGAGGCGTGAACATTAGGTAATTAAAACAACTTCAGACCAAATAGTTCATGTTCATACACTTTTATGATTTTCTGCCTCGAACTGGGAAAGAAAAACTCTTATGTGCTATACAGTTTAGTTTTAGAAATATGGATTATAAGAAAAAATCCCTTAGGAATCCTTCTTTCAGTTCTGAGCTTCATTGAACAGCAGGGCCAGCGCTGCTCAGGGAGAGCAGGGATGGAAAAGGGGAGACAGAGGAGGTTTGTTTATCCTTCTGGGAGGTGAGAGCAGGGGAGAAAGGAAAAAGAACAGGGGTGACCCTTCAGGGAAAATAATCCAAAGCAAAACCTGTGGTTGAATTGGCTGTCT